CCAGGCCAGCCGAGCGACGTAGTCGCTCCAGCGTGTCCTAGGTCTTCCCCTAGGTCTCTTCCCAGAGCGTCGGTACCCGAGCACCTCCCGAGGGAGGCGAGTTCGGCATACCATCAAGGACAAAACAGGGGGTAAAGGTCGACTTAGATTTTGTCATTTAGATGTGGTTAGAACACAGTTAGCTTTTTGTTTAGGTTTTTGTTTCAAGTGATCGCCGCAACCTGTTCAAGTTCTTCCAAAATGGCGTCATAACCCAGGTCCAATTTCAAGTCAAATTTAAAATTTTGTTTATAACAAGGTTATAACTGAGGGCTCTCTGGATTTTTTTTTTGCCAGTGGGGCAAAGCTGGAAGACTTTCCGAATGCCTAAAAATAAATGCGAAACTGTGAAAGTGTGGAGTAATGAGAGAAGCCCTCAGTGGTTAGTGTGGGTAGAGTTTGATTTGCTGTTAGGTGGTTAGATTCTGTTTAGAAAAAAATCTTAGCATTAGGTGCTAGCTGCGCCCTTATCAGAGCAACAAAACTTTAACCCTTTGAGCACGTAAATGTCCACTAATCCACCTAATTATCGAACTATACTGTACCAAAATGTCATCTAAAATCTTCAACCTACTTATCTGAATCGTAAAGATGAAAAATTTAACAGCTGAACAGTTGAATGTCAAAGCCTAAACTGTTTTCCCTTATACAGTATATAATATAACATAATATAATACAGGTTCAATTCAAATTGTAAAAAAAGAAAACAAATTCCTTTTGAATCCATTTTTCATTTCACACCGTGTACAAAATAATAATTCGCCCGAAGAGGAAGGGGTCTCCAGTATTTAGTGGATTGGGAGGGATACGGTCCAGAGAGGAGTGTCATGTAACATCCCACCACATTTTGGACAGATCCCTGATTCAGGAGTTCCACTAACTGCATCCAGGACAACAATCAGGTTCCCAACCACCACGGTCGAGGCATCCACAACATTTCCCTCTCATTTTCCCCCTTCTCATATTCCTAATGGAAGCATTTCTCCATCTCTGGCTTCTGGTAGGGAGGGGAGCAGCTTGGCTGGTTCAGATGGCAACCTCTGATCTTACCTCCTACTCCCCGAGTGTCCTGGATGGTTCCTTCTTCTTGTTCGGGGGATGTCAAGAGCCGTCCTTGAAGGTGGGGTCCTGCCTTGCTTGCTGCAGCACGACAATCAGTGAGACCAGGTTCACCTGCACTCACTGCTGATTGGCTGGCAGTGTATTATATAAGTGGTGGCCACACACTCCTCTCTGCCAGATCATCTCTTCTGCTCATGTTGGCTGGACACTCCCACTTCTGTCTCGTTTGTCGATTTTTCCTGCTTTGCCTGAGACTTAGTTTTGATCAAATATTCAATCCAAAACTTGTCTGTTCTGAGGTCGAACCAGTTTGGTTGTTGCGCGCAGAGCTACATTTATTGGTCTGCTCCGCGCCGCCGCTTTCGACTCCCTTGTCGACCCATAACTGCTATGTCGCTTCATTTTGTTAATAGGCTTCCTCTGAGAAGAAGACATTTTGTTCGTGACTGCTGATTTGTCGCATAACCTTTTTGGGGCTGCTTTTGTTAAGAGACCTTCTCTGAGAAAAAGACACTTTGTTTGTCACTGCTGAATTACCGCAGTAAAGTGTGCTGCATTTGGGTCCAAGCCCGGTAAACGTGACAGATTGATAGATAGACAGACAGACAGATGGACAGATAGATAGATAGATAAATCGGCGTCGACATCGGCGCTTGAGCAGCCTGTGAGAGACGGGCTTAACATTGTTGCTGAGACATAATTTGATGTAAAACAAAAAGAGTTTAAAAAAAAAAGAAACATAATGAAATTACTGGCAGGACAGTGACATGCCTATTTTTCTTACCAAAAAAAAACCAATTTGTTAATTCAAAGTTTTATTTGCACTTTTCTCTCTAAAAAAGCACTTTGAATATATTGTTTTCTAAAGATAAGTTCTTTTACTAGAAAAGTATTCTTGCTCTGTGATTGCTTACCTTGGGGTTGAAGGTAGCAAAGAACGAAATGTGAGGGTGGAACTCCTCGGCAGCATCAGCAAAAGCGTCAAAATCTGAAATCGCAAAGGCATTTATCAAGTTACCATATTTTCTGGACTATAAGTCGCTCCGGAGTATAAGTCGCACCAGTGGTTTCTGGCGGCTGTCAGTGTGAAATTAACGAACAATTTTCAGTGGTACAGGAGTAGCAGATACTGGTACACAAGCCTTTTTCGTGTGAAACAAATGTGACATTATATATTTTTTATATATAAGTCGCAAAACCAGCTAAAATATGAAAAAAAAAAGTGTGAGTTATAGTCCGGAAAATACGGTACTTTAAATGTATTGCACAGGTAGGTCTAGAATTGTGTCTACAATTTTATCAATCCAATTGTTTTTTTTGGTTAATATAAATCAGGTATATCAACAACTTCTCACGTCACGATGGTAAAAATTCTTACGTTCTGACTTGTGGCTTTTAAAGTAGCCCACCAATTTGATGTCCTCGTCAATGTTTCTGAAGCCTTTCAGTTCCCGACTGTTGTCAATAATTTCTACGGGATCCTCAAGAACCTAAAAACAGATTAGTGGAGATGGAGAAGATAAGGTGTGGACAAAGGAAAGAGAAAATCTGATCAAGTCAAAAATACGATCGTGTGACTTGTTTTTTCCGAGAAGAAGGGAGGGCTTTTTTAAGGCAGAAAAACTATTGAATGAGAGATTCTATCCTCACGAACATCAAAGATGAACTCCACTAGGGTGTCTGCTGCGAGCTCGCCGTCATATTCTATGACCTCGTCCTCAGTGAAGATGAAGATGCTGTCCGACTCGTCAAGGCCTAAATGAACAGAAAATGTTATTCCGTCTTAGTTCTCAAGTTTAAGGTCACCCATTGTTTGTTTTTTTTTAAAACATTTCATTACAGTTTGTTTTTTTTTTGTTTATGAGAGTTTTAAATATTTTTTTTTATTCTGATGTTGATAGGAAATATTTAGCATATTTAGCCATGTTTTCAAGGTGCATTCACCTAGTTTCTTTGCAATGGCTTTGTCATGCTTGGCATCAATGAGACCAACTCCAATTTCTTCATCATCAAACTCATCCAGGACCTGGGCTGCAAGCTGTAAAACAAATATTATTTCAGTCAAAGAAGTATAATTTGTTCAAAATAAGATAAGAAATTATACGCTATACCAGAAGTTCCCAAAGGGGGTGGCACA